AAAAAGTAAAACCTATGGGGTTGGCCAAATAGCTCAACAGATTAAAGCACCTGCAAGCAGGCACAGGGACTGGACGTGGTGGCACGTGCCTGAATTCCCAGCTTGTGGAAGGCTGTAAACAGACAGGATCACTAGGAGTCTGATCTAGTAGTGAGACCCTGAACACCCTGTTGACTCTTCCCTAAAATACAAAAAGAAGCAAAACCCCAAAACTATTCAGTTTAGCAATAATAAAAAAAAAATGTCAACAACATCTAGATTTGGTAGTTTGGTATACTGCATTTAGTTTGAATACGAAACAAGCAAAATGAAAGTTACAAAGTATGTGCCCAATATACTATCATTTTGTTTAGGAAAAAACCACTAATTTTTTTCATATTAAACTTTGTGTGTGGTAGCAGGGATCAAACTCAGGACCTTGCACTTGCCAGGTAAGCACTTATTCCACTAAGCTACCTCCCCGGCCCCTCATATTAAAACTTTTTTTGCGGAACCAGGAATTGAACTCAGGCCCTTGCACTTGCCAGGGAAGCACTTTATTCCACTGAGCCATCTCCCCAGGCCCAAAACTTTTTTTCTTTAAGCCTCATTAAGTAATTTCTCCAGGGTTGGGAATATAGCTCAGTGACTTAAGTGTCTGCTTAGCAAGCACAAGGTCCTGAGTTCAATCCCCAGTACCAAAAAAAAAAAAAGAGTAATTTCTCCAGATCATGAAAATGTAGTATACTGAGACTCACCAAGACAATAAAGATTTATTTTCTGTTAGTTTATAAATTAGACTGGAGAACCTGAACACAATTTTAATACTATTTTGTATGAATTGCTGAGTACATGTACTAAAATGGGGGGAAGTTAGAAAGCAGAAGAAAAGAAAGAAGGCGTGATGTGTTTAATGGGCAACAGAAGAAGATTCAGAAGAAAGGCAAGAAAACAGTGATAGGAATAACCAAGGCATACAAGTTCCTGCATCAGAACAAGGAGGCAGGGACAGAAAAGCGCCTCGCTTGAAAGAATGGCTCCTCTCTGTGACTTGGGGGCGTGAGGCCGAGGAAGGCAACTTATATATTGTGGTCCAGCTGCTGAAACACAGTGGGAGCTGTGGGGCAAGGGTCATGAAAGCAAGTTTTGGCAGTTAGCAGGCAATCAACAAATGTTTGTTATCCTTGTGTGCTAATATGTATCTGTATGGGACTAAACGTTAACTAGAATATGTACCTGGAGTCAGCTTCCTGATGACCACCTAAAGATCTGCTCATAGAATTTCTAACTACTCACATATGGCTTTCCATTTGCAAGGCAAATTTAACGGCAGAGCCCTAAAAGCACTTTTTTTTCTAGGCAAGGGTGAATTAGCACACACTGAACAACACTTTTTTTTCCTTGGCAGAACTGGGGATTGAACTCAGGCCCCTGAACTTGCCAGGTAAGCTTATTCTACTGAGCCATCTCCCTGGCCCTGAACACTTCTGATAAATCACTTTAGCAATATTTTGCTTGTTTTACAGTTTCTCAAGTGGAACATCTAAAGGCAATTTTTCTTTTTTGCAGAACCTGGGATTGAACTCAGGCCCTTGCACTTGCCAAGGAAGCGCTTATTCTATTGAGCCATCTCCTTGGCTCCTAGAGGCAATTTTAAAGCTATGTAATAACAGAGAAGTCTAAGGAAACACTGTGTTCTCTCTTTTCATTGCTTCTTACCTCATCTAATGGTTTATCTTCCAAAGATGTCAAATCTAGTAGTGGGTTTTTCACTCCTAATGAAACCATTGTTTTTAACCCTAGAAAATCAACAAAATACAAAGTCCATCAAAGTTTATCTTTCTCGGACATTTAGAAATTAACAGCTTTAATGATCAGAGATGGGCAGCCATAAGATTAATAGGGTCAGTGATAGTTACCTTTTTCATCTATTTTGGCACATTCTGCAAATAGATCCTTTGACCCTGTATTTAGCCGGTCCCTATGAAAATAATGAGACTGGAAAAAACGTGTCCAGAATTCCTTTTCTGTCATGCTGTGAGGAACATTTTCTACATATTTCATTCTTACTGTTGGAGAGAAAAGGTAAAAAATAGTTAGACACTGAATTTCTTTCTTTTCTCTTTTTGGTATCATGGATAGAACTCAGAATCTTGCATTTGCCAGGCAGGTGCTTATGTTGCTGAGTTATTTCCCCAGGCCTTAATTTCTTTTTCTTTTCTTTTCTTCTTTTTTTTTTTTTGAGGCAAGGTCTCACCATGTAATTCAGGCTGGCCACAAACTCGGGATGATCCTCCCGCCTCAGTGTCCTGTCACCATACCCAGCATAAATTTCCTTTATTTATTTATTAATTTTTTTTTTTACATTTAAAAAAAAAATATTTATTTGTGTGTGTGTGGCCAGCTCAGCCCGCCTGGGGGCGGGGCTGGCTGGCATGTGGTGCTGGGGGATTGAACCGCGGTCCATGTGCTTTGCTAAGCTTGTTCTAAGTAGGTGCTTTAGGCCACTGAGCCATCTCACCAGCCCCAAATTTCCATTATTTAAAACTTCTCAAATTAAGGGCCAGCCAAATAGCTCAGTGGATTAAAGTGCCTGCAAGCAAGCACAGTGGCCAGGGGTTTGATCCCTGGGCCTGCTGTGCTGGCCCCACCCCAGGGCATGCTGAGACAGCAACTGAGACTGGGCATAGTGGCCCACGCCTGTAATCCCAGCTCTTGGGATGCTGTAAACAGGTGGATCACTAGAGTCTGATCTAGTAGTGAGACCCTGAACACCCTGTAGACCGTTCCCTAATATACAAAAAATAAAAACCAGATCAAGAAGCAGTTATTTGAACTCAGGCCCTTGTGCTTGCCAGGGAAGCGCTTATTCCACTGAGCCATCTCCTTGGCCCCGAAGCAGTCATTTTTATATACTATATAATACAATCTAGTTGCACTCATAAAATGTGAGACATTAAGATGTTATCACTTAAGGCTGGTGGGATAGTTCAGCAGACTAAGTGTCTGCTTAGGCAAGTACAGGGACAATCCCCAGCACACGCCCACCAGAGCCAGTCACTGAGTTTGGGTGTGGTGGCACACACCTGTAATCCCAGTGCTGGGGAGGCTGAAAACAAGAGGCTCACTATGAGTCAGAGCTGTGTAGCAAAACTCTGTACCACATACACTGGGAAAAAAAAAGTTATCATTATGAACCTTAAACTATTACACCAATATAGTTTTTTGTTTTTTTTTTAAAGTTCTTAAGTTTCAGTAAAAGCATCAATAAACTTGATGTCAGAACTAAGTTAGCTTTTTTATTTTATGTTTGGCAGAACTGGGGACTAAAATCAGGCCCTTGTGCTTGCCAGGCAAGTGCTTATTCTACTGAGCCATCTCCCCGTCCCCCCTATTTTTAGTGTATTTAGTACAGGGTTTAACTACACAGATCAGACTTGTAGTGATCCTCCTGTTTTCAGCCTCCCAAGCGCTGGGATTACAGGAGAGTGCCACCATGCCTAGTCTTTGCTTGTTTATTTATGTACAGAGGCTCTCAAACCATAGCAGTTAGGTGGTTAGAGAAACATCTCTCTTTTGGAACTGGGGTTTGAACCTGCGTCCTTGCACATGGTAGGCAGGTGCTTAATCCGTTGAACTATCTCCCCAGAATCAAGAAATAAAGAATACCCAGTGGACTATCAGCTCAATTATTATTTTTTTGGCTGAACTGGGGATTGAATTCAGGCCCTTGTGCTTGCCAGGCAAGTGCTTATTCTACTGAGCTATTTCCCTGGACCATATCAGTTCAATTCTTTACAAGTTTATAACCTAGCAAGCAGTGTTCAAAAGCATGGTTTACTGAGTTAGAAGCATAACTGAAGCAGTGGCTCTCACTCTTCACTACACATCAAAAACTACTGGGGCTGTGATAAAGCTTTGATATTATTAGGATGATTTCTGTAGGGGCAATGATCTGTGGGTTAGAAAGGTCAACCTGGATATTGTGGGTAATGATGATCTTGGGGTAATGATGTGCAGAAACGCATGTAGTGATGCCTCTGTAACAAATCATTTTATACAGCTATGCTGAGGGCTAAAGTGGTTTTTGGTTTTTTCTTTGTATTTTAGGACAGGGTCTACAGGGTCTCACTATGTTGATCGGACTCCAAATGATCCTCGTGCTTTCAAACTCCCAAGAGCTGGGACTATAGGCGCGTGCCATCACACCCAATCTCAATCAGTGAGCCCCAGGGGCTGGGTCAGCACGGCATGCCTGGGGTGGGATTGAACCCAGCTGCTGTACTCTGCCTAAATAGGCACTTTAATCTACTCAGCTATTTGGCTGGCCCTTAAATAAAGTTTTAAGTACCACTAATGGAAAGAATAGCAGTCATATCAATGAATTAAAGATGGTACATTTTTCACTAAGCCCTTACTATCTACCGTACATTAGGTACTGGGTAACTTTTTTTTTTCCCCAGAACCAGGGATTCAACGCAGACCCTTATGCTTACCAGGGAAGCACTTATTCTATGAGCCATCTCCCTGGTCCCACTCTTTTTTTTTTGTATTTTAGGGAAGGGTCTACAGGGTGTTCAGGGTCTCAGTACTAGATTGGATTCATAGTGATCTGCCCGTTTATTGCCTCCCAAGAGCTGGGATTACAGGCGCATGCCACCACGCCTAGTCTCAATTGCCATTTTAGCACGCCTCAGGGGTGAGGCTGGCACAGCATGCCTGGGATCAAACCCCAGACCCCTGAGACTGCTGAAGGCATTTTAATCCACCAAGCTATATGGCCAGCCCTGCACTGGTTAGCAATGTATTTCACTCCACACAGGCATAAAAGAAGCTTTTCGTTTGCCAATGAGGTAATTTAAAATTCAAATAAAATTCTAACCATCTGAAGAACTGACCATTCTTACCTGCTGGATAGGTCCTAAAAATGGACTCAATGATATCAGAAGTTAAATTATATCTCAAACCATTACAGCCATCTGTTTGGGGCCGGACATCAGCCTAAAACAAAGATGATACATGCATGTATTTATACATATACTTGTCAGAGCAACACAGTATGCCTAAGCTCCCAACAGACACTGTACCAGTGTGGAAAACAGACTTTCTTAAAGGAATATACTTTTACTTTTGGCAGTATAGGAATCAAAGCAGCACAGACTCGTTTCTCTTTTTTAAATGTATTTAGTATAGGGTCTCACTACTCAGCTCCTCGGACTCACAGTGATCCCCTCCAGTTTTCAGCCTCCCCAGTGCTGGGATTACAGGTGCGCACCATGACACCAAGTCTCCATGGTCAGCTCAGTGAGCCCAGGGGTGGGGCTGGTACAGCATGTGGTGCTGGGGATTGCACCCCGGTCCTTGCCTTTGCCTAAGCAGGTACTTAGTCCGCTGAGCTATCCCACAGGCCCTTTCATTTGTCATTCTTTTTTTTTTGCAGAACTGTGGGTTGAACTCAGGACCCTGCGCTTGCCAAGCAAGCACTTATTCCACTGAGCTATCTCCTGGGCTCCTGAGCTATGTCCCTGGCTCCTCATTCTTTTTATTTTTATTTTTTTTAAATTTTTATTTATTTATTTATATGTGTGTGTGTGTGTGTATGTGGCCAGCTCAGCCCACCAGGGGGCGGGGCTGGCTGGCATGTGGTGCTGGGGGATTGAACCGCGGTCCCTGTGCTTTGCTAAGCTTGTTCTAAGTAGGTGCTTTAGACCACTGAGCCATCTCACCAGCCCCTGGCTCCTCATTCTTAGTGACACATTTTTATCTGCTTTCCTGAGAACTGAATTTAGTTAATCAGGCATGCTAAAGAGTAACCAAAGGCAAAAAGGTGGTGGAACTTTGACATAAAACTTTTATAGTTGGCAGGTAGCCAACTATACAGTTGTACAGTGCCCACTATACACCTTGGTTACTGATGAATCTAACATAACTGTACTGGTTTCTTTAGCAAGGACTTTATAATTTAGTTTAATTATACTAAACATTTAGTTAATACTCCGTATACAACTGGTATTCCAAGTTTTTTTAAATGTTTTAATTCTGCTAGAGCACAGAATTTCATTTCCTAATTCCATAATCCAGAAGATAATCCCAAGTTTTTTATTAGATATGCTTTTTCTATGATGCTCATTCAATATTTAATTTTTATTTTTATTTTTATTTTTTTGTGGTACTGGGAATTGAACTCAGGACTGTATGCTTGCCAGGCAAGCCCTTACTCTACTGAGCTATCTCCCCATCCCCCAATTTTGAATTATTTAAGCGTCACCTGTTAAGTACTAGTTTAATTTCCAAGAATTACTTTCAAAGGCCAACTGAATTCTATTCTATCATGTCAGGGTTAAGTCCAAAAACAAAAAATGAAAACAAACGTATATACATACATACATAAGTACATACACATATATGTATATACATATATATGTGACAAAAAATTAATATACCTGACAAAAATATAAATTCAAAACACTCTTTTTTTTTTAAACATATTTGGTACAAGGTCTCACTATGTAGCTCAGACCCATAGTGATCCTGTTTTTAGCCTCCCCGGCTCTGAGATTACAGGGATGAGCTATCACGCCCAGACTTGTTTGCAGCATGGTGGAATATGGGACAGGGGATTGAACCCTGGTCCCTGTGCTTGCCAAAGCAGGTACTTGGTCTGCTGAGCTATCTCAATGGCCCTACTCTTTGTGTTTTAAAAATGTTTTAGAAAAATACCATGGGTGGGCTGGGGAAGATAGCTCAATAGAATAAGCACTTGTCTGGCAAGTGCAAGGTCCTAAGTTCAATCCCCAGTACTGCAAAAAGAAATAAGACAAACAAAAAAAAAACCCCAAAAAATCCACAAAAAGGGGCCGGCGAGTTGGCTCAGTGGAATAAGC